GTCCAATTCTTGACACCAGGATTTATGAAATTAATATTGGTCCATTTAAGAAACGTTTACCCCATATCCTTGTCCATTCCTCAGTGTCTATCTCTCCTTGTAGACTCTGGAGCAACTGTTACTACTCCTACTGAAACAATCTTCTACACAAATACCATGTGATATCACAACAGAAGTATTCTTTCTAAAAGGCATTGACCCCATTGATCAAGCTTCACCTACACTTCCACTTAAAAAAATTATAAAAATAGAATCACACATAAATTTCATATAATACCCCAAATACTTTATGATGGTATAATTGGCGCTTTTGGCTGCACAATCGACTACAATCGTTAGACCTTGAAAATAGGTGGAAACAAAATAAAATTACATTTCAATGAACCTACTTATGTAATTACTTCCAGGTTCGAAACTGTCATAGAATACTCCGTCTTTTTTTATAGTATAGGGTGACAAACGAGTACACAATTCACCTGATGGTAAGTAGTTGCTGTGGCCCATAGACATCTACATCTATCCTCGATTGCGAATCAAAATGCAGATGCGTTGTCACCCATGAGGACTAAGATGGAATGCCTCGTTTCCAGTAAAAAGTTTTTATGTTAGGCTTGAGGGCAATTGTGAGAGAGTTTATCACCAGGAATAAAGAATATATGTGAATATTCAGAGAAAACATCGTTAAGAGCGTTTGCCTCTACAGGATTGAAATGAGAGATTCTAAAGAGGTTTAATACTTCTTGTGTTTGTTTCTTTTTAAATGACAGACTGTATGAGCGTTTAATGGAACAAAAGTTTTGATTAAAGAACTTAAGGAAGTGAGTGTAATATCCGGATTTGACGGTAGGGTCACAGGAGTTTCAGAATTATTGATTACTGATAAGATAATTATTTTGTTTTCTTTGACTGAGACTAAGCAATAAGCGATTAGTGACAATATTGCTCTACTATGAGTCCTTCTTTCACAAGGTTATATTACTAGTATAGTTGTGGCACGAATGGGTCGGCTCGCCCGGGAAAGCACCACACTCTCACAGAATACTAGCGTAAAATAGCAGCTTAAGACTGCTGTGTTTCCTATGGTGAGTGTGGGGATCCGGAGACACTTTTTACTGGAACGAGGATTTCCATCTAAGTCTTCACGGGTGACGACGCGTCTGCTTTTTGATTCGTAATCGCGGATAGATGTACCTAGATATCTATGAGCCAAAGCAACCACTTACCATCAGGTCATTTGTACACCCTTATTCTATTTAAAAAACTTAATTTTAAAAGATTTCACTCGTTAATACTTATTGTAGTATAATATATAAATTATGTTTACGATTAAATTATAAAGTGATAAATTCAAATTTTTATACATTAATTTCCTAAAATACAACTAAACTGTAGTGATTTAGCACTTTGTGTACTTCCTCATACAAGATCTATGATATGTATGGACACAGTTTTTTACGACACTATAAAATAAATACGGAAATGAGACATGCCTACACTTTTATCGACTGATATAAATATATATCAACATAAATAGGTTGAACTATAAATAATTAGTATAAGATCCCGATATAAAACGACCTTCACTGAGATGCTTATTTAATGAAACGTATTTTATATTTAATTTAATATGTCAATAAATATAATCCATATGGGTTGCCTAGCAAATTTCAGTCCAGAGTATGTTTAATTAATAATTAAAAAATTATTTTTTTAAACATTTCACCGGTATGATTATTAGATAAATTCTATACCAATCGAAAGTATGAAGCCCATAGAATATGCAAACGTTAGGTTGCCTATTCTTTTCCGGTCACAACTATCGGGTTGCCAGGTATAAACAGGTAAATCTGTACTAGCATTTTGCTACGGTCTGTTTATTGAATGAAATTTAAATGAAATTAAAGATTATTTTATTCTGAACACGGTGGTATAGGGTTGCCTGCGAAAAATCAGTCCAGAATTGCGGTTGTCGAATTTTAAAAAGTAAAATATTGCTCCGAGTGAATGTGTGCGACTGAGAGGTCCCAACCGACCATCCCATGCGATAGAACAGGACACAGCATAGCAGCTGTTTAAAGTCCGCCCACTTAAAGAAGAGAGTGCGCATGCTATTTGGGCTTGGAAAAGAAAAGGATAGCGATAGACTCGTATTTACTATGCATCATTTTGGAGTAGTTTATTATTTAAATAGGGAAATGGTTATTTAATTTTTTTTTAATCAATTAATTATTTATGTGTATATTTTTTATGTGACACTAAAGTATATATGCATCTTTAGTAAAAAAGAAGGTTATAGTGATACATATATAATACTACCCTGATTAAAAATATTGATTGAAAAAAATTAAAAAAAATTACTACATGCAAATTATAAATCTATAAATGTAAACAGAGAAATTGAAATCAATTGAAGCTATTAGAAAAATTCAAAACCCATAAAAGTGAATTTTTTTAATCAGGGTAATCTTGCAAATTTTATTTTTATTTAAGAAGACAAAATAAAAAAACAACAATTAAAAAATTACTTCTATTTATTGTAAAAAATTAAAAATACAATTTTTTTTTAAATTATTCAGAATCTGAGTCATCGGACATAAAACTACGATCTTCAACTTCTGAATCTTCTTCGTCATCACCCTCTGTTTCACTTTTTTCGACAATGTCTTCTATCTTTAAACGTGTATGATCCCCCAGTGAATCCTACTGGTTTTAAATATGCATCTAAGAACCATCCGCAGTTCTCAGGCTCAAGTTTCACGCATATTGGATCCATTGCATTAAGCCACATGGAATTTACGAAAATAGTTCGTAAAATTTTCTGAGTTAATGATATCCAGCATGGTGGTATGGAGTTGGAGTCGAAGCCTTTTATTTTTTTTAAAAAGCTTAAAACTGTCTTCTTTTGCAGAGTAATTTTTCATAAAAATACGATGTCTCGCATCATTCATACTGGTGCAGTTCCTGATACCGTACATATTAGCCGTAAATTCTTGAACGGTCTTCATTTTTTCAGCAATGAAAATATCAGCAGCATATGTTAATGATGCAAAAACTGTTTGATATTTTTCATTTTTCGAAAATTGCTGAAAAGGTTTTACTTTCCCTTTGTTGTAAAAGGCTGCCGTGTAATCGCAACCTGTAAATGCATGGAAGGCGGGAAGACTTTGGCATAATTTAATTCCCAACTTCAACGTTAAATCGGTGTGATTAATGCAATCAACAGTTTGATTATTAGTCTTTCTAGTTGCTGAACAGGCAAGCCAAATTTCTGATTCGATAAGTTTGTGCATATTTCCTAACAAAATTGTCAAAACGTCAGTATCAGAGGCTTTAATTAAAATCCTTGAGCCTGGTTCCGCTTTAGAAGCATGAAAAATAATCCTTGTATCTGCCTCTTCGTGATGACATTCATAATTAGTTTCTTCAGTTTTTTTTTTACGGAATTTTCCTGAACTTGGTAAGAGTAGCAGTGATGGTCGACGGTTAAAAAGATTTTTTTGTTTTGGATTATTGTTACCAAATGGTCATTTTCCCAATAATCAGCCAGAAACAGCACCAGAGCCTCTTTAAAGCGATAATTTTTAGGGCTTTGCAAAAAATTTTTTGGTCTAGTTTGTTGAGGTCCCAAAATTTTGTGAACATGAGAGCAGAAAAGAATTCGATATTCCGTATATCGAATTCTTTTCTGCTCTCACGTTCGCAATCTTTGATTGACGGTGATAAGTAGCGATCAAAAATCAAATGTATTTCTGTAGGGTTTGTTGAACATCCCCACCGAACGGGTTCCCGCCTTGTCGTGGCGGGGCGGCTTAGAAGCCGTGGCTTGGTCACCCACGGCGAAACAAAGAGGAACCCATATGGCTGGTCCGAGGTGGAAGGCCGGCCCGAGGTGGCCACTCCGAGTGGGCTTGGGAAGCCCACTTCGGAGTGTGTTGGTGGACTGCGGTGAGAGGTGTGTCCTCCCCACCTACCGCTGCAGCCGAGGTGGAGTTGGAGGAGTGTTGGTATGGCGATGCGCCTCTCGCCCTATCCTCCGCGACTCAAACGGGGCCGCACCGTTGATGCGGTGGTGATGGGGCTGCGGGGGAGAGGATTGTCGCTATTGCGAGGCGCCGCTCTCCCTATCCTCCGCAGCCGAATCTTGGTTGGCGGCGGAGCCATAGACCAGATCCGCCGCTGGGATCGGGAAGGCTAGTACTTCTAAGTGCTCGTTTTTCCTGGCCCCATAGCCTTCGCGCATCGGACGCGGTCTGTTGCGCAGATGTAATTGGAGGCCGTGGAGGAAGGCGTGCCATGTGTTCTGGTGCGCTTTACTTGGGAAGGAGAACGGGGAGGAATATTCCTCTCCCGATGAGGTGCTGCCATGGGGCAGCAGTCGCTGGTGGGGCCGCGGAAGTGTGCGAAAGCGTTCCCGTAGCCCTGCCAATATGCGAAGAAGGTGGAACACCATGGGGTTTTAGTCGGTGCGAGTCCGACATAACCCGTCCTTGCCCCCGCGAGGCGGGTATGCGTAGGCATTTCCCCATGTTAAAAAAAGGGGTTTGTTGAACATATTTTTATGAGTATTGCCTCAGCAATTTTATCAAAAGTTTGAGCTATAGAAGATCCGATTAGATGCAAGTAAATAAAAACCATCTATTATTTCAACGTTATATGATATGTGTTGGCTCAACCATTTCAGTTTTGGATTTCAAAACCTTTGCTAACGTTGATTTTGAAGTTTTTAACATCTCTCCGGTACATGAAAAAAGAGCAGGTGGCAATGGTGCTAGTGGAAAAGTCAAGCAAAATTCGAGATTAATTTTTTTGTTTAGGCTTATTGCCAAAAGTCGCCCAAATACGTCTCGTTCCATTTTCAATAATACTTTCTTGTCCTTGTCTTTGGTACTCAAGATTTAGTCATCATTCAGTCATTGAGAAGCAAAATTGCAGATTTTGTTTCGTTTTATTGGTTTATCGAATCTTGCAGGAGTTGAGCATTCTGAGATAAAATTTAATTTTTATTGATAGCCTACTGTTTTCACGTTCAGCAGGAAATCAGCAACTTCTTTAGACGCAGCTTTGCCGGTTGAAATGTTGAATAATGTATCTTTGTCAATAGTGTCATCAAATGGATTCATCGTACATTTTATTGCTTCAATGATACTGTTAAGATTTTTTTTGTCTTTCTTAATTTTACTTTGTTGCAATGAGTGCGAAGTATCATCTTTTTCGTTAATCCGATATTTTGTTTGATAGATGTTAATATCTTCGTCCTCATGCTGTGACTGAGCACCCATCTTTGACGTGCAGATATTGAGTCAGCAGCAAGATTATCAGCCAATTGATTGCTAGCATCAGCATTGATAGTTTGCTCTAGCGTCAAGTCAACCGGTGATCGAGCAAAATTTGCTGCAGTTCATCTAATTCCAAAGGCGCCTCGACGAAATTCAGCTACCAAAGATGAATTATTAGTATACAAATTGATTAAATTGCTCAAATATAACAAGGACCATCTGGCATAATTGGGCTGGTTTAACGCAAATATATATCAGACATGTTAAATATCGAGTCCACGTACAGTTCAAAGTTACTGGTGCTGATACTTCTGGAAAACCGATGGTATAAATTAATAAACTCACGGTACTGGTAATAAAATTGAGCAGTTTTCCCTTTTTTTCCGATCAAAGTCTGATTGCAGAATTCTTTATAACCGTTAACAATACGACTCAATAAATCTTGTAACTCGATTGTTTCGTTGACGTCATTCATCCATCGCCTCAAGTGTTACATTAGTTGTGGATAAATACTGTTCAAAATGTAATATTTGTAATGCGGCAGCGGTTAGCGGATGTAAGCACTTGCAACGATTGAAATGTTTGCTATCCAAGAAGCTATTCGTGGAGCCGCCGGCTAATACTTCTGCTTGCACCAATATTTGCACTAATCCACTGCTGTCAATATATTTTCCGATGGCTCTAAAAAATGCCATCTCAGTGTGGAAAGCTCCCAAGTTAACAAAAATTTTTTCCAAAAAAATTTCAAAAAAAAAAGCCACGCTGCTTCCATATTGTGGCTGCAGCACGAATAGATCTACAGAACCACTTTCCTTAAGACACCCGTATGAAAATAAATGCTCACAGTACGGTCCAGTTGAAAGTAAATAGATCCTATGTTCCATAGACACGTACATCAATCGTAATTACTTATTTAAAGGGTTACTGCAGCCCACTCACCAGCAAAAGGAACCAAGGAAACATAGCAGCATTACGCTGATAACTCACGTTGATACTCTATGCTAGCGTTATCCATCCCCCGTGGAGCCTATCCATTAATGATAGTATGCAAATCCAAGACGGTCGAGAAGCCCCAATTTTTTTTTTTTTTTTTTTTATAAAAGAATATTAACAATGCTATAAACATTACTAATATTCCCCTTAATCACTCGTGGTAAGCTTAAATTGCTTGTGTTACGAGTGGTTCACGCCAGTAGTCGAATGGCGGATTCGAACCCACGACCTTTTTGAGTTCGCGGTCCGCGCCCTGCCATTAGGCTACTGTCGCCAATACTTAGTTATAATATGAAATCGTGTAATAATTTAGTACCTACTTTAAAATTAAAACACCGTGTCGTTGCGATGTAAGAATTAGATTGGCAATGTCTACTATAAGATAGATTGACAGCAGTATCTTCCTGGTAACAGATTTAAAAAAACTGCAGTACCTCGGCAAGCGTGGCAAGTATAGCAAGTATCCCCTTATGAGGCAATTTATGGGGTAGGTAGGTGATATGCTATACAGGAAATAGTAATTTAAAATAATTATACAAATAACTTAAATCTTTGTATTTAATATGCATGAACTGTTAATTAAAAATGTTTATTATGTACATTAATAAAGTTTTTGAGTAGGTTGTATCGCAGTTTTAGGAAGTGAGTTGACCTTGTAAAAAACTGGATTCCAATAAAACACGTAACTTTTTAAAACAAACATACCTTTTTTTGTTAAAGCACTCGAGGCTAAGATATTATTACATTTTTAATTGAACAATAAAAAGCACGTTTCATTAACCTAAACCCGGTTGACCGCTTTCAGCTTTGCTCGGTATTTTTCGCTCGTTTTTTTTTTTAATTCGTGTGTTTTGGAAATTATATTTAGATACAAATTACATACTGATGAAATACGAATGATCTTAGCGACATAATAGAAAAACTGAACTGGTTATTTAAATAAAAAATCATGAGAGATGAGAGAGCAATTAGTTTAATTTAAATTTTCGTGTTTTTAAAAAATACTAAAAAACCGTTTTGTGACCGCCCAATGTACCAATTAAGCTATTTGTAATCATTCATACACTGTCAAAATTTACCTTCTTATTCTAACGATATTGTAGCAGTTTTACATTGCCTAAACACACGGACAAAAAGACATTTTCTAAAAATAAATCCTAGCTAGATCGATTTATTGCCCCCGAAACTCCCTGCACACAAAAATTTATGAAAATCGTTGGAGCCGTTTCCGAGATTCCGATTAATATAAAATATACATATATACAAGAATTGCTTGTTTAAAGGTATAGGATACTTGAAAATCAATAACAAAATGCTTGAAATGGTTGAAAATAGACGAGCGACTGATTGATGGTGGAAGGTGGGGGGGAGGGGGTGAATTGAGTAGTTACGTAGCTCTTTAGGAGAGAATTTTCAATGCTTCCATGGGAAATTACAGGTGTGTTCAGTTAAGTATCTTAATTTTGCGTTTTTTTGAGATATCTCAATGTGTGAGGGACTTGAGTATGTCATACTCGCGTCTCTTGTGGTCGTTTGATGGGGTCATCCACTTCCATATAATATGGTCAACGGGACAATGGCTATTAATGCGTCATACTTGTGAACAGGTGCTACTTTTAGAGCTTGGTTCGCTATGCAATGGTGAACTCCAGATTCTTAAGGTAATGTTTTGATTACATCATATAACATGCTTCAGGAGGATTCATGCGGAGTATCTTTCACCGTTTCCTCTGCTACCAGAGGAACTTTGTTTCAAAACGGAAGTAGCAGTTTAAAAAAAATTACAAACCAATTTTGTTGTCTAAGAAATAAATGTATTTAATTTAGTTTCATTAACTAATTTAATTTCAGTGTGCATTATTCTAAATATTGTTAAAGCCGTAGTGGGCGACTTATGTAGATTACAATTACATTGTAATTTTGGTTTAGACCAAATCGAAGTAACCAGTGAAACAATTGGTTCGACTTCGTTCGTTCGAAAGCTGCTCTGGCGGTTTTTTTTTTGTTTATTTAAAACTTCATATACACACGTGGTATATAGGCGGACTTAATGCCTAAGGCATTCTTTAATAGTCTACCTTGGGTTGAGATAGAATTAAGTAGGTGTAGTAAAAAGTTAATATGAGAACACTAAGCTAGAATAACTAAAAATTGTGTAATACATGGAAATAAAATATGTAAACAAATTATAAAAACTTTGATTAAACTAATAAAATGAAATATAAAAAGCTAAGGTAATAAAAATATATAATACATAAGTACATATTATAATATCAGATGTATATAAACTCATAAAGGTATACAAATATACATATATACAAATATGTATAAGATAATATAAAAAAAAAAAAAAAAAAAATATATATATATATATATATAGGCCGTGGTAACTCAGTTGGTTAGCGCTCGCTGTAAATTTTACAGCACGCAAACCGGGTTCGATCCCCGCCGGCACCAATGAAATTTTTAATTGCAATTTTAAGTGCTGATTTACCACGTGCTTGGAGATGAAGGAAAACATCGTGAGGAAACCTGCATGTCAGAGAAATAAGAAAAAAAATATTTCGAAGACATGTGAAGTTCGCCAACACGCATTGGGCAGCGCGGCGGACAATTCCTTTCCTAAAACCCTCTCAGAAATGAGCGGAGGCCTGTGCCCAGCAGTGAGACGTATATAGGCTGTAACTTTATATATATATATATATATATATATATATATATATATATATATATATATATATAAAGTCACCTTCACCTGAAGCCCGCTTTGCTGACTGATAAATGCCAATAACTGGCTTTATCCTGGCCATAGTATATTACCACTATTAAAACCAGAGCAACAGTCAAAATAAAGGACAAACAAGTATTTTTATAGAATAAGGGTGACAAAGAGCACACAGTCACAGTCCAGTGCATCAATTGGTAAGAGGATACTGCGGATAAAGAACCGATATGCAGATGAGTTGTCACCATAAGAAACGCAGCAGCATCGAGTTGCTTTTTTAAGCTGGTATTTAATGGTAAGAGCGTGGTTTTGCTTTCCCGGTCGAGTCGACGCATTCGTGCTACAACCATAATAAACAGCATGGCTCTACCACGTAATAGTCTGTTTTTTCATTCACCAGTGAACCGTCCGGTTTTAAGAGCGTAGGCAAAGTGAACAGAAATAAGCCTTGGCCGCTTTAATAAGTGATAAAAATTCTAATGATAATGCTAATAAGTGATTCAGATTATATAAAAATGTCTCTAGACTAAAGCCCAAAGTCGCTTAGCGAGATGTAGACACGACTATGCTCAAAATTTGTCCGCATGATAGACTTAGAAATGATGATATTCGCAGCAGAACTAGAATAACCGACATAGCGCTAGGTGTCAGTAAGCTGAAGTTGTAATGGGCCCGCCATATTAAACGCGGTAGAGCCATGCCACAACTATAGACACGTACTCACAGAATATCAGCGTAAAATAGCATCATAATGCCGCTGTATTTCATATAGTGAGTGTAGAGAACGGGAGACCCTTTTTTACTGGAAACGAGGCATTCCATCTCAGTCCTCAGATGCAGAACCAACGGCTTTATGTTCTTCCCAAGACATGGAGATGAAAAATCACCAATTCCTTAACTTCACTTGAGAAATCTTGATAGATAAACCCGATAGCTAAAATCTTACATCTCTCTTTGCAGTACTGGAATGCTACTGCACTTTATTTTTTCCTTTTCAACCGATTTCATAAAAAGGGAGAGTACTAGTTCATTGGCATTTAGTTTACGTTTACCAGATTGTGTGAGTATTCGATTTCAATTAATATCCTAATGTCTAATGACACAAAAAATCATCAAACTATTAAATTTGCAAAGGCAACTGCACTACATATGGCTGAATAATTCATTAGCACGTGAACCGCCAACCTGCTTGCCAAGCGTGGCAACTATGGCAAATATCCCCACCATGAGGCAAACTATGGGGGAGGCCTATGTTCACCAGTGAACTTTAATAATGATGTAACGA